GCTGTGTGGCGGGGTGGCGTGCGGCCGGGCGCCTCGCGGAGATTTCTTCCCCTTTTCACACCAAAGTGTCTGGAGATTTCCTCGCCTCGCTGCCCCACACCCCCCCCGCCCCCTACAGTGAGAAACCCCCAAAACAGCAATTCCTTCCACTGGGGTTTTTTTCGGTATTTCAGAAGGCGCTGGGCAAAGCAGAAGAGGATAATGCCAGAGACGGAGCAGCGAGAAGCAGGAGGCTGAATTTCGGTTTGGGGATGCGATGTGTTCAAGGAGCAACCCTGATGGCAGGCGTTAATGTCCTCCCTCAGGCCCACTGGGACATAACTTCAAAATGAGGCCGGCGGGAGTGCAGTTTGAACCAGGTAACCTCCAGAAGACCCATCCAAGCTAAATAAGTCTGTGCTGCGCTGTTGGAGATACTTACTTTTTAATGGCACGAAGTACCTGGCTAGTGCTCAGAGCAGTGTCCACGATGAATACAAATGCACTGTCCAGCCATCCCTCTGTGTGGTCCGGACCAGTGACGAGCTCAAGTTTCACTTCAAACACTTCTTTCTTCATCCAGCTCAAACTCTGGCCAGCAATCATACGGTTAACCCGCAAAGAAGTTCCCCACCGCGTGAAAAAGAGCAGTGAAAATTGTAGCTTCCCAAAGTGTCCCTTAAGGTGACCAAAGGCAGCTTCTGGTAAAGGAGAGAGAGGAGATTCCCTGGTCGCATCCTGCAGGGCTCTGCCACTTCCCTTTCACGTCTCAGCTGATGGCAACTTGTACAGTCACAGAGACAAAGTCGTAGCTTGTAAATTAGAAACTTACCAGGGCTGAGCCAGTGGGTTCGGACGGAGTGTATCAAATCCGGCAACGTATCTTAAGCCGTGAGGTACCCCGCTAAGCTGTAAGGACTAAAATGGGAAAAGAATACAAAAATGAAAGGCACGAAACAATTTCTCGTGCTAGAAACTTAAAACAATGTGTCAACATTTCCTTTTATACAAAAGCTACCCTGGGCTGTGGGATGAATCTGGCCTGGCAGAACGGCTCACCCCGTGTACAAAATACAAAAATGAAAGGCACGAAACAATTTCTCGTGCTAGAAACTTAAAACAAACATTTCCTTTTATACAAAAGCTACCCTGGGCTGTGGGATGAATCTGGCCAGAACGGCTCCCCCCCCCCCCCCCCCCCCCCTTCTTGTTAGATGATCAAAATGTAAATGTGTTCATGCATGCAAAAAACAGCTGCTTGAATGCATGGTCAAATAGCACAGCTGGGGGATGTGATAGGTACATACCTGACAGGCCCAGCAAGCAGACTCTTGATGCTGTGCCAGGAGTGCACACGTGTTCTGGCCTACAAATGTGCGTCTGTCATGTGCATGCATGTGCACCTTTTGCACGCACATTCGATCAAGTGGGCACTTGAGTGTTTTGGTAGGAAGATAAACTTTTCCCCCATGGCTGAACTCCTGAACTGTTGCAAGGTAAATGGTCCCAAACTGCCTTCTTCATATGTATAAATTGTAGCACCGAACAGAGGTACAGCACAATTAAATCAGGGGAGGGGTCTGAAATGAGCAACTGAAGAAAATCTATGCTGTATATCTGGAAGTTAATTGACAGAAGGACAGACAAAGGCAGAGATGTCACATCCCTGCACCACGACTTCAGCACCTTTCATCAGCATCAGTGTATCGATAAAATGTATTTATTTGCTGTAAACCACTGATGTGTAGGAAAAAGGCAATCTAAATCAATAATAATGACAATTAATAATGGATACTGTCTGAAAGAATGTAATGCAGACAAGCTTTTGAAGGGAGTATTCCAAACAAATGTTTTATTGCATCGCGCTAAGACAGTGTGCATTTAAGCATCGTTACAGAAAAAGAGGTCAAGGAACCTCATTGACCCGTTTGGTATGCTTGGCTAACTCCATCCAATTACTTAATCACTTGTCCCTCCAAATTCCAAATGACTGAGTACCTCCATCTACAATAGAAAAGCCATTTAAGACAATATGTGTGATATACTGGGCTCCATTTTGATCAAGTGTACTCGGTTTGCCAGATACAATAGTTTTCATAATACGATCTAATTTATGGCAACGTCTGGTAGGTACGGTTGCATTCGTGATAGGGAATGGGCATGTCTTCGCTATAAAACAATATTTTCCCAACCTTCAAGCCAAATATTTGTTTTAAGGTTAGAAAATACTTACCTAAGAACACACCTCTCTTCAGTGGTGATAGGAAACTGTGGCTGGGTAGCTGAACAGTTTTATTTACTGGCCTCCTTCAGTTTTCCATTTTTATGAATCACTCATTCTCCATTTTTAGAAGTCTCTCACACTTGGAGGCTTGCTGGGCTAGAGAGAAAAGGAGGACTCTCTGCTGAACAGAACCTGCACTGCTGTTATAACTGGTTTTTTTCCCCACAGGTTTTTGGAGGCATGGGCCGGGGGGGAACAATGGCAGAACAGCACAGCTGTGTCACCGAAGCATTCATGTTCTTGCTTCCAAAGCAAACATCTGGACAGCCTGAGTTTTAGCCACCGTTGTTTATGTTCATGTTTTAACTTAAAGCCCTTAACATACCTGATAATTTAATTACAGATTTCATTGGGATAGATGTGCAGAAAGGTGTTAAAATGTTCAGTTTTCTGACTTCAAGTGATTGTATTTACCATGGTAATATTATATGTGAATGCAATTATGTCATTCCAGAGTATGTTATGTCCATTTTCACATTGTTTTGCTAGTCGAGGATCAAGCTAGTCAAGGATTCAGTGTACTGAATTCAGTGTGTGTACTGTATAACAGAAAGTCACAACATGCTTCGGCAAGGAGTGACTGAAATTCTGGAGCAGGCTGTTACAGAACAGTCTTTTTTCCAGCAGAAGTTTCATTCTGCTGTGATTATCCCTCTTAATAAAACATGAATCCAGTTAATAAAGCGTACCACATCATCACATCACTCATCCACTAGCTACGCTCAGCGATGACTGGGCTTCCTACTGCCGGAGAAGTCCAGCTGGTAGCAGGGAGAAGAAACCTGCTATTGGTAGATACCAGTGCTCTCTATCACACCAAACTCCCCTCTGAGGTACAGAAAATGCAAGTACAAGCTGCCTGTCTACAAGGGTAGAAGAGAAGACAGACACTCTAATTCACCCATAGAACTGAGACAGAAATCTTGTTTGTGTCCTTGGGTGCTAGGAAACCATAGAGAAAGTTAGTAGTCGCTCTAACTCTGCTGCTTGGGGAGATAATGACAACTCCCCTATCACATCACTGGGTTAGCAGCTTCTCTAGTGTTGTCCACAGGCTGAGAAAATCCTCTCTCGTACATAAGAAATGTAAGAGCTGTGTGAATGAATGACATGTTCTGTTAGGAGAGGTGAAATTGAAATAAAGAGGTTTTGTGTTAATGGCAGCCTATTTTTCTCTGAGCTTTTTGGTTAACTAAAAAAATCTTTTGTCACTGACACATTTCCAATGAAATGCTGAAGTGCTCCAAACACTGGAAGACAAGGAGATGGTGGTAGGCTGGAGCGAGATGACAGCCTGGCGGCAGACAATGACCGGAGAGGGGGCCACTGTACTCTAGTCTTTTGTCCAGTGAATGTAAATGATATTAGAGAAAAATACTTTTCACTTCAGTGAAATGACCGGAGAGCTCGCAAGAATAGCTCGCAAGAATAGCTCACAAGAATGCTCCAGTGCCCGGAGACTGGCCTATGCTGAATGGCATATGGCAAAGAGGAGGTTTGATGCTGGGGCTCTGCTGCTCTAGTCACTGAGCTCTAGACCCTGAGGGGGATGAGTCTGGGGAAAGGGAAACACCCATGTTTGACACGTACTAATATCAAGACTATAAAATATTTTCATCATCTAAAAGAAATAACTGAAAGTGACTCAAATACACAGAAAGTTTCAAGTTGACTGAAAGGTGGTTTTTTTTTTCAAAAGAGCTAGCCTCGCAGCAAAATCACAAACAAAATTCTCCATTTTGACATTGGTCTTAGAAGAAAATGTCCTACCTCTCAATAAAGTATAAATAATTACACTGAAGAACCTTAAGTCCTGAGAAGCAGGGTAAATAAAATCAGTTACTAGGCAATACTTGTCCTGACAAACCTGTTCTGCTCTGGCATACCTATAGCATGAGCTCACAGTACATTGAACAGAGGGGGTGGTGGTGGTGGGGAGGAGTGGGATGAAGTGGGAGAGTGTGGGAGCCAGTAAACAGTTATGTGTGGAAAACATGAAATAGTATCAAAGCTGTGTCACCCTGACAGCTGAATATTGAACAGCAGTAGGGAACCGATTCGTCCTTCAGGGTTTTTCTTCAAATTTGGCATGAGTATAAATTCAGTGGTTATAGCAAGTCTAAAGTCTGACTGATCTGTCCTAAATTATGCGTACATGAAGAAAGATAGCCATAAATGTAAGATTCTCTGAATTCACTTGCATTAAGGATTCTGCCACATTTAACTGTTCCCATGAATATTTTTTTAAATGAAATTGAGAAGAAGTAGAGTCCTTCATAATTTGCTGTATCTGTTAAATGAAGGCTGGAACATAATACATTTCCTGTCGTAGAAGAAAATACATCTGAACAATTGTTTCTGCACACACAATTTGTGGGCTTTTGCAAAAGTTAATATAAGGTCATCTAGTGGCTCTGATTGACTGTCATGCCCCCATGGGCAGGCAGGATGTGGACTTATAAGAATCTCATCCTCGGAGGCACCAACACAAACGTAGTTAAGTTGAGAAGCAGTCAGATGGGTTGCCATGTGTTCTGTTTTGGATGGGTAAGGTGTTCTATTTTGGCTAAAGGGAATCATCTAGATTTGGGTCAAATAACGTGAATCTTAAAAAAATTGAAACAACACAGCCTGACTTTATAGGTGTCATGGTTTAACCCCAGCTGGCCACTAAGCCCCACACAGCCGCTCGCTCACTGCCCCCCCGGTGGGATGGGGGAGGGAATCGGAAGGGTAAAAGTGAGAAAACTCCTGGGTTGAGATAAAGACAGTTTAATAAGTAAAGCAAAAGCTGTGCACACAAGCAAAGCAAAACAGGGAATTCCTTCACTCCTTCCCATGGGCAGGCAGGTGTTCAGCCATCTCCAGGAAAGCAGGGCTCCATCACGGGTAACGGTTACTTGGGAAGACAAAACGCCATCACTCCAAACGTCCCCCCCTTCCTTCTTCTTCCCCCAGCTTCATATGCTGAGCATGACGTCATATGGCATGGAATATGCCTTTGGTCAGCTGGGGTCAGCTGTCCTGGCTGTGTCCCCTCCCAACTCCTTGTGCACCCCCAGCCTACTCGCTGGTGGGGTGGGGTGAGAGGCAGAAAAGGCCTTGACTGTGTGTAAGCACTGCTCAGCAGTAACGAAAACATCCCTGAATTATTACCAACACTGTTTCCAGCACAAATCCAAAACACAGCCCCATACCAGCTACTGTGAAGAACATTAACTCTATCCCAGCCAAAACCAGCACAAGGAAAAAGTAATCTTTGAAGAGGAGATTCATTCCCATCTTAATGTGGCAGGAGGATGGAGATGCAATAGGAGAGTAC